CAGCCATTTGGAAGGCTGAGGCAGAAGGGTCACCTGAGCGCAGGAGGTGGAGGCTGTGGTGGCCATGAGTATGCCACTGCACTCCAGCCTGGGCGACAGAGTGAGACTCCAACTCAAAAAAAAAAAAGAGAGAGAGAGAGAAGTTCTTACTTTGTTGCCCAGGCTGGAATGCAGTGGCATGATCATAGCTCACTGCAACCTTGAACTCCTGGGCTCAAGGAATCCTTTCACCTCAGCCTCCTGAATAGCTAGGACTACAGATACACAACACTGCACCCAGCTAATTTTTAAATTTTTCTATAGAGAAATGATCACTGTGTTTCCCATGCTGGTCTTGAACTCCTGGCCTCAAGCGATCCTCCCGCCTCAGCCTCCCAAAGTGCTGAGATTACAGGCATGAGCCCCCATACTCAGTCACTATTTTTATTTTAGGTAAGTTTCTTGCTTGATGCAAAATGTCAAGTGTAGTGTTAGGAAAGTAGTATTAGAAAGCTTACAAAATAATGGCTTCAAGAGGGAGCTCTACAAATCTTGCTAATATTCTTGAATTACATGGAAAATATTATATGTTTTGCACAAAATACTTCTTAAAGTTGACTGGGTGAGATCCCAACTCAAAAAATATACATATACAAAATAAAATAAGCTTTCAAAAAATTATTTTCCCTGCAAATATTGAAGGTATTGGTGTATTGTCATCCAGCCTCCTTCCCTAGGCTACTGCACCATCTGATTCTCATTTCTTTGTAGCTGACCTATAGCTTCTCTCTGGAAGTGTGTCACGGATTTCTCATTTCCACATTTTTTCTTTTTTCTTTTTTTTTTTGGTTAAGCAACACCACTTACTTCCAGGGCCAGACTTGGATATAGCACAATTACGGAAAAAAACTGTCAACATTAATCACTCTGTCATATACCAAAAACAAACGTCCTACAGAATCTGGAATGCCAATACATCTGAATCCACTGGAAAACATCTGTTAATCACAGATCTTTCCATTTCAACTAACTTGACACAAAGTTTCAGCTTCAATGATTTACTGAATCCCTGGGCCATCTGTAAAGTCTTGTTTTTTGTGTGTGCGCTTTGTTTTGTTTGTTTTTAATTGCTAAGTCAAAGAATGAAGCAGATTTCAAAGGTAATTTTAAGAGTCAGAAATACCAGGCATGGAGGTTCACGCCTGTAATCCTGGCACTTCGGGAGGCAGAGGTAAGAGGATTGCCTGAGCCCAGGGGTTCGAGATCAGCCTGGGCAACTTGGCAAGACCTTGTTCTACTATAAATTAAAAAATTAGGCCAGGTTCGGTGGCTCAGCCTGTAATTCCAACACTTTGGGAGGCCGAGGCAAGTGAATTGCCTGAGTCTGCAGGTTTGAGACCAGCCCAGGCAACTTGGCGAGACCTCATCTCTACAATAAATCAAAAATTAACTGGGTGCGGTAGCATGTACCTGTGGTTCCAGCTATTGGAAGACTGAGGTCAAAGGATCGCCAGAGCCCAGCAGGTCGATGCTGGGGTGGCCATGAGTGTGCCACTGCACTCCAGCCTGGGCGATGGAGTGAGACTCCAACTCAAAAAAAAAAAAAAAAAAAAAAAATTAACTGGGCATGACGGCACATGCCTATAGTTCCAGCTACTCACCTGAGCCCAGCAGGTCAAAGCTGGGAAGCCTGACTGTGCCACTACACTTCAGCCTGGGTGAGACTCTGACTCAAAAAAAAAAGAGTGCAAAGTCAAGATGAGTGTTATAGTTGTTAGAGTTTAAAATGACATTTCAGATGCTCCAATTAACCTAAACATAAGTTTTAGTAGACTATTAGTCATTTATGACTTATATACCATAAAATTCATTTGTTTCAAGTGTACAATTTAATGATTTTTAATAAATTTTCAGTTGTACAACCATCGCCACAATCCAGTTTTAAAACATTTCCATCACCCAAAGAGACCCCTCATGCCAGTTTGCTGTTTCCCCTCAGCCCCCCCACCCCCCCAACCCC